AACAAGCAGGATATCCAAGGTTTTAAATTCTGGTATACTAGAAAAGTAAACACAAGCAATGGAGTGGGTATCATTGTCGATAAGGAGTGGAAGAAGATCGCGGCAGAAATTAACAGAATTGGGAATAGAATTATTTCCTTAAAATTGATCATCGGACGAGACACTATCAATATTGTTAGTGCTTATGCATCTCAAGTTAGGCCAGAAGCCAATCTTAAAAAATTATTTTTGGAAGACCTTAAGGGGTTGATTGAAAGCATACCACATAATGAAAAGATCTTCATTGGAGAAGATTTTAATGGACATGTTGGGAGGGAAGCAGGTCATTTTACGAGAGTGCATAGTGGTTTGGGTTTTGGGGAACTAAATAATGAACGACAACATATCCTGGATTTCTCTTTGACATATGATTTCAAGATTACTAATACCTGTTTCAAGAAGAAAGATGAGCATCTCATCACTTATAAAAGTGGAGCTTTAAGGTCATAGATTCATTTCTTTTTGGTAAGGAATGCGAATAGAAGACTTTATAAAAATTGTAAGGTAATTTCTGAGGATGCTGTTACGACACAACACAGGGTCCTTGTCCTTGATGTATGCATTATGAGTAAAAACCAAAAGCGTTGACAAGTAATAACTCTAAGGATTAGGTGATGGCAATTAAAAGGTGAAAAAAGAGAAATTTTCAAGAGAAATCTCTTAGCTGAAGGAATTTGAGAATGTCGAGGAAGTGCTAATACCTTGTGGAAAAACTTGGCTATGAAGGTAAGGAAGGTTGCAAAAGAAGTTTTGGGAGAATCAAGAGGCTTTGGTTCAAGAAATAAGGAGTCTTGGTGGTAGAATGATAGCGTACAAGAAAAAATCAAGTATAAGAAGGAGTGTTTCAAAGCCATTCATTTGTACAATAATGATAAAAATTGGAAAAAGTATCCTATGGCTAAAAGGGAAACTAAGAGGGCTATGGGTGAAGCTCGTTCTAAAGCATTTGAAAAGTTTTATAATGCTCTTGGAACAAAGGATGGAAAATGCAAAATTTATAAAATTGCTAAGAGTAAAAAAAGAAAATTAAAAGATTTGGAACAAGTAAAGTGTATAAAGGATGAAAAAGAAAATGTTTTCGTCACAAATAATGATATCAAAGATAAATGGAAGACATACTTTTCTAAGCTTTTCAATGATGATAGAGGGTCGTCAATTAACTTGAAAGATTTAATAATTTCTGAAAGCGAGCAAAATTTGTCCTTTCATCGAAGAATACGAGCTTGGGAAATGAAAAAAGCTCTTAAGAAAATGGCAAATGGTAGAGCTAATGGACCTGATTGTATCCCTATTGAAATGTGAAAATGTTTGGGTAAAGAAGGATTACAGTAGTTAACTAAGTTATTTAATGAGATCTTACAATGCAGAAAGGAGTGCGGTGGTTAACTAAGTTATTTAATGAGATCTTATAATTCAAGAGAATGTCGGACGATTGGGAGAAAAGCCTCTTAGTTCTTATTTATAAAAATAAAGGAAATATTCAGAATTATGCTAACTACAGAGAGATTAAACTTATGAATCATACTATAAAAGATGGGAAAGAGTGATTGAGCATAGGCTGAGATTGAAAACCGGGATTTCGGAGAATCAGTTTGGCTTTATATCAGGGAGATCGACTACAGAAGTGATTTATCTACTAAAGGGACTAATGAAAAAGTATCGATGTAAAGGCAAAAACTTACATATGATTTTCATTGATTTGGAAAAAGTTTATAATCATGCATCAAGAGAAGTACTTTGAAAGACTTTGAAAAAGAAAAGTGTCCCAGTTGCCTATATTCGAACTATACAAGATATGTAAAAAGGGACAGCAACTAGTATAAGAATGTTTGGTGGTAAAACAAAAGATTTTCTTGTAAAGATTGGATTGCATCAAGGATCATCTTTGAGTCCGTATTTGTTTGATCTAGTATTAGATATTTTAACTGAGCATATTCAAGAAGAAATTCCTAAATGCGCGCTTTTTGCAAATGAGATAATTCTTATTGTAAATATAAGAGAAGAGATATATTATAAACTTAAATTATGGAGGAAGACATTGGAGTCAAAAAGTTTCCACCTGAGTAGGAATAAAACAGAATATTTACATTGTAATTTTGATAAGGGGTCAGTGAGTAGTAATTTGGAAGTAAAATTGGTTGATCAAACCATACCTCAAGTGAAAAAGTTTAGATATTTGGAAGCGAGTATCCAACAAAATGGAGACATTGATGGAAATATTACATATAGGATACAAGTAGGGTGGTTTAATTGAAGAAACACTAAAGGAGTTATTTGCGATCGTAAAATACCTAATAAGATTAAAGGAAAGTTTTATCAAACTACTATAAGGCCAACAATTTTATATAGTAGTGAATGTTGGGTTTTGACAAGACAACAAGAACATAAAGTTGGAGTAACAAAAATGAAAAAGTTGAGATGGATGTGTGAATATATACGTAAAGACAAAATTCAAAATGAGCGAATACAGGAAAAAGTGAGTGTGACACCTATTGAAGAAAAAATGATAAAAAATCATTTGAAGTGATTCGGACATGTATAAAGAAGACCACAGGAGGCACCTGTGAGGGGAGTGGAACAAATGACTGAGTCCTGTCAAGAAGAGTAGAGGAAGACCGAAAAGAATACTTTTGGAGGTTGTTGAACGAGACCTTTTAATTAATAACATTTCTAAAAATTTAATAAATGATAGAGCACAATGGCGTCATATAATCAATGTAACCGACCCCACTTAATAAGATAAGGCTTGATGTTGTTGTTGTTGTTGTTGGTAGGAGGAGGAAAGCCAACTCCAAAATTCACAGCATCAGTCAACATCGAAAAAACAGAGGAAAGACAAATGAATCACCTAACCTCGTATCACACAATATCTGACCAGTGTCATTGATGGAAGGATAGCAGTTAGAGGGGAAAAGAGAATAGACAAGAAAATAAAATGGTTAACCAATTTTTGTGGCAAACAATGCCTAGATAAAGGTAGGAAGTAATTATTAAACTTTATTTAGAGAGAGAGAGAGATTAAGACATCTTTTTGAGATAAAGGAGCAAACCATTCATGTCTAACATCTACATAGGCATCTGCTAGCTTCCCCTCGTTCATGTTTCTTAAGATGAAGAAAGCCATCCAATATCATGCAACTATCAAGACCTGAAATGCTTAAGCATACAGTATCTCATTTATAAGTTTAAGAGTAATTGAATGCAGCATTAACTACTTAGATATGGTTTCCTTTATTCAGATAAGGAAAATGATATGGTATAGTATCACCAATATGGACAAAACAGTTAAACACTTAAACTTATACATGCATGCACATATACATACATGTGCACACATGCACATGCACACATACACATAATGAAACAAAGAAATTAATAAGCTGAAGATGGAGGCAGAGGAAAATATCCAGTGAAACACATACCAGAAGAAAATGATCATATGGAGCAGGTATCTAGCATCCTTCACATGCACCAAATAGTGAAGTCAACTAAATATGTCTCTTTAGTAGAGAGGGGTAAGCAGACAAAATATAAGCCTTAGCACTGAGATATGCATGGCAAGCGACATTGTGAAGGTCTTCAATAGTAGGGAATCTTCAACCTGAAATCTCCAAAGGCAACTTAAGAGAGTTTACATGTTTACATTAAAGAAACCATTGTTTGATCAAGTAACAACAACAAAGTGAGAGTATATGTGCAGACAGATATGGAACAGATGCAAGACGCAAAGAGTAAACATATATTCCCCAAAAATTCACAAGATAGCTAATATAATGATGGGAAGCCTAGTTGGAATTAGTGTTTATGTTTTGGTAATTTAAGCCTAGCAATTATCTTAAGGATTTAATTTGTTTTGAACTTAAATAAGCATAATATTTATTGGAATTTACTTTTGTTCCCCTCTCTCCTTCACTGTTTTACATCCGATAACCTGCAGCAATTGGATTTTGTTTTAGCATGAAACCTGCAGATTTTATTGCCAAAAAGAAAGCAAGAATGAAGATAACATGTTCTCAGCCTGCATACTTCAGAGGAAGGTTCGTGTGTGTGTGTGGGCGCGCGCGCAATATTTAATAAAACATATGTATCGAGCCAATGGAACTTTAAATTTCTCAAAATCTGCACACACAAGCAAGAATGAAGTCATAAAAACCAGAACCCACAAATAAGAAAATATACAAATTTATAAATCATAATAGAAGAGAATGTATATAGCCAAATCTGCCAGTTGAGCACAGTATTAGGTTTGTCCAATATTTTTGTCCCCTCCACACCCCTTGAGTGTGGCTAAATATTTGAGCGAATGCAGATTAGCTTGTGAGCATGCACGTCATTCTCTCTGCAATATAATTTAAAGAAAATGCAATTGCAAAGAGCAAGTAATCAGTTGATAGACAGACCAATTATGAAAGCAACGGGTTCCATCAATCAGATATCTAAAAGCGAGTTCAAACTTAATTCGAAGGGTCCATTCAGTAGGTGTAAACTCTGGTTAGATTTATTTGGCCTTAGTTAATTAATGAATCACTTTTTTTCTTTTGACATGAACGAATCACATATTTTGAAGCCAACAAACTCGTTCTCTATTATTATTGCCACTATCAATATGTAATCCCGGTGTTATTTTTGACCAGCTTCTGCATTCAATAATTTTTATAAGAACTTTAGTTAAGCAGGTCAAACCATGTAAGGAATATTTTGTACTAACATCAGCAGATCATGACAATTCAGATAAAATACTGCCCTTCTCCCAGATAAATAGCACACCTCAATGAACCAGAAAATTATTCAAATGATAGAAAAGATAAGCCATAATTCCAGGGTACAAAGACTAAAGAAACGTTGATGAGTTCTCTGAACTCACAGGCACAATCATGTGAGAAAACGCTAGCACAAAAATTTTATACTGGAGTGATGGAGGTGTTTCAACATGTAAACGTACACAGGACTTCCAGAAGAGATTCCAAAATTCATAATGCCATAAATAGAGAAATTTAAGGTTCCATCTGTAACATAAATCATATAGCACAGCACCACACAAAAACTCTACTTTCCATGACCTTATTGATACTAACTTCATGGATTGTATCACCCTAATCAACTAGGCTCTAGGCAGATATACCTATCTGGGTTCACTGAACTTACAAGCACAATCATGTGACAAGAAACTTGTGCAAAAACTTGATGCTATGGTGATGAAGATTTTTTAACATGTAAACATTCATAGAATTTCCAGAAGACATTTCTGAAAGTGCAATGCCATCCTCAGATAGATAGACTTTCGGACATCTTTTTGTTCACTTCCAAGTGAGCCATTTATTATACAAATCAAACAGCACAGCAGCACACATCAAAAACCTCCCTTCCTTGGCCTTATTCAACACTTACTTCATGGATTATACCAGCCTAATCAGCAGAAACTAGACTCTAATAGACACATTCCTATCACTCAGATACTCTTGTGTATATCTCGTACACCAGCTGTGCAGCAAGGATATCCACAACAGCAGAACCTACAGACTTAAATACAGTTATTTCCTCAGAATTTCTTCTCCCAACCTTGTCTCCCGCAGCTAACTCCGCCAAATTTGCCACAATATCTTCCTTCTTAATCACCCCTCTCTGTAAAGCACCTACCAATTCTCCTGCTTCCACAATTGCAGCCTCATTGTCCACGAACACTCTTCCTCTCCTAATGGCCTCATCATCGCATTCCTTCATCGAATGCTTGAACGAACCCACCAAATCCAAATGAGTTCCAACCTTCAACTTCTCCCCTTTCACAAGAGCAATCTCCGAATTGGTCGCACAACTCACAATATCCCCGAGTCCGATGATCTCATCCAAACACGCATTACTCTCGAAGCTCACCCCTTCAAAACTCCCATCATTACTTTCTTGTATTCTGTCGACCAACGTTCTTGCCTTCTCCGCTGTCCGATTCCAGATAACTACTTTCCTCAAACTGGGTATCGCTGAAAGATGGGCTCGGATCAAATGGGGTGCCAGAGCTCCCGCGCCCACCATCACGAGGACTCGACTATCTGGTCTAGCCAGATATTTTGAAGCCAAACCAGAGACACACGAGGTTCGATAAAGGGTCAATTCAGTGGCATCTATGGATGCCAGCGGCTGCCCTGTGCTGGAACTGAAGAGAACATAGGTTGCCTGTACGCCTGGTAAGTTAGTTGCAGAGTTCTGCGGGAAATGGGTGACGAGCTTGACGCCCATGTAAGGGAAAGAAGGAGATGACGACCAAGAGGGCATGAGGAGGAGAGAGGAAGAAGGAGAAACCTCGTAGCTTTGACGTATTGGCGACTGGATTGAGGCTGAGGTTTTGGTGAGAGAAGATTGGAAGTGATTGATTAAAGTTTGATGGGAGAGGATGGAGTGTAAGCTATCAGTCGATATGAAAACTGGGGAAGAAACTGGAACGAAGTTAGCCATTGATGAAACTGGAAGTGATTGTAAGATTTTTTTTTTAGGGAGAAGTTGCAGATGTCTAAGAGATTTATGAATTCAAATATCAAAGATTTGGTTGAGATGAGAGAAAATCAAGGAATTGGTAAATTCAACCCTAAAAATCAAATATTTGGATCAAACCCAAATCCTCTACTTCGGTATTTTCTAATTTGCACTACAGAAGCCCAAGCATCTGCCACCTCAACACTCTTTCTGATCGTGTCCTTCCTCCACGAAGTTCAAACCAAAGTCACGAACACACAGCACTGAGCTGTGAGACGTTGGGAGCATTTGATGCTTGCATCAGTCTTCTCTCTCTTCAGTCTTCACGATTATGGTGGCCGATCCTCCCATCTCCTTTGCTCTGCTTTATGAGTTGTCAAAGCTCTTCACCTCCTTCTCCCTTATTCAGCTGGATCTGACCAGAGATTGTGCTCGCCGCCAGCCAATCTTCCGTCCAAGGCAGCGCCACTTTCTCCCACTATCATGTCTTTCGTCTTCATATCTAGTTCATGGAATGAGAGAGATGAATAGAGAAAGCAAAGGGCTCTGCGTCTGGTTCATTGAATGAGTAAAGAAAGCATGTAGGGGACTGTGCGTCTGTGTGAACTGGGAAGCAAGAGAAGAGGCTAAAAGATCAGTGACAGTATGAAAGAAGCGGTCAGGAACGATGGTTGCGAAATGGGATAACAAGGGCCTGTTTGGAAACGGTTTGAACACTTTAGGAAAAAAAATAAAAAAAATTTATTTAATAACATATTTTTAAAAAATATTTTAAAAAATAAAAAAATAAAATATTATTTTAGAGCATAGAAAAATAAAAATAATTTTTAAATATTATGTGATTATTGTTCTGAAAAATAAAAAAGAATAAAAAAAATCTATTTTCATTATTTTTTGCTCTCAGAATATGTTTTACAGAATACTAGTTCTCAAAATAATAAAATAAAAATAATTTCAAACAGTTCCTAAATTATCGGGAGAATTACATTCACATCCTCCATCAAAAAATTAATTACTATAAATTTTAATAATAACTGAACTAAACTAAGACTTTAATTCAATTATCAATTAATTTTATAATAATTAATGTTTTCATGTAAAATTTTAATATAATTTTTCTTAAATTATTTCATTATTTTTTTAAAAAATAATGGGTAAACATGTTAACATTAAGAACCTGGATTTTGTGCTCACAAATTCATTATATAAGTTTTTCATATATCTATCTATTTTCTTAATACAAATGCATTTTAATTTATGAGGTAAAAAATATATATTGCATTGATTTAATTCATGAGATGAAAGTGTAGGTGACTATTAGCAGGTAAGGCATTCTGATAAAATATATCTAGATTATCAAAATATATGTATCATGTTCGTATTATAATTAAAAAAAGAAAGTGTAGATCTTATGAGTGGAATATATTTGTCATTTATGAATTTATTTTAATCTTTTTTAATTAAATATTTTGAATTTTATCATTTAATTCTATATTTTTAAAAAAATTAATATTTTTGAATTATCAATATATTTATATTTGTAATCTACTTTTTTATCCTATAAATCTCAAATTAATCACACAAATATATATATATATATATATATATATAACAAAATTCATATCGATTTTTGTCATTACATATTTCAACTGAATTTTAAATCAAATTATCCAAACAAATTTTATTTTGCCTAATTGATTTTAAAAAAAGAAGATATCTAAATATAAATCACATTATATTTACTAACTTTTCCTCTAATCTGAATTTGTCAACCTTAGTTGCATCCTAAACTTAGTTATAAATTTTTTAATCTAAATACACAAGATTACTGCATGCCTCTCTAATGCAAAGATGTTCTAAGACAAATTACGGTGGAAGTAAAGGGTGAACCAAAATGGAAAGGAAAATTTTTTATGTAGTTAATTTTTTTCAAACAAAGAGCAATGCTGTAGAAGCTCCCTCGTCTGGCAAGGGAATTTTCTTTACCTTCTTTTAAGAGAAAATTTCTCTCTCTCTCTTTCTCTCTCTCTTCAACTGATAAGAGGTTGTGCTAACTTAATCAATAATTTTGAGTTTGAGTTTTGAGTATATAATTGTGTTAAATACTTGTTGAAAGAACTTTATCGCCAATATGATCCGATTTGACTTAATGCATGAATGACTTGTTTCTCAGTGTTTTCTTTGCCTTTTTTTTTAATTCTTTGCAATTTTTTATACTTCATTTCAAGTTGTGCTATCCCTATCTCTTTTACATTGGTCCCGACTCCTTCTCTAGGTATAACACTCTACTTTTAGAATCATAAAAACTTAGTCATATCATGGTAGAAAAGTATCTATCGATACAGCTTGTGGTTGGAGGTTCCAAAATTTTTCAATTATTCTTCACACATGACTTGTGTAACATCCAAAATTTAATTACAAAGTTAAATTAATTAATTCATTGGTTCAATTAATTAAGGTGATTAGGAGTTTATAATAGGGTTTGGATGACTATTTAAGTCTATTAGATCCTCTAATGGGTTTAGAATAGGGCTTGGTGAGTTATTACACCATATTGGGCCCAAATTTTCAAGCTTAAATAATGTTGCCCATTTTGGGCCATCTACAACTTCGTTATGGTGAAGACATTGTAATTTTAAATCCCAAGGTTATTATGCAAGAAGACAAATTTAGTAAGTTTTTGAGTGTGAAACTGAGAGAAAGGAGTGAAGTTCTACTAGGGTTTCATCTTATATTCTCTTGGGAGTGATTTGAAGCTTCTAAATCACCAAGTTTAAAGTTAACCTTAATATTAAATAATTAAATTTAAGTTAATAAAGGTAGCTAGTAGTGATTATTAAGCTTATTAGGAGTTAAATAAACCAATAGAAATTAGTTTTGGTGTTTGTTAGGCTTAATCATACTTAATGATAGGTTTAGGCCTTAATCATAATTAAGGGTTGATTAATGATGATTAGTCATTAATCTTGTTTTATGGCAATATTTGTAGAACATAATGTGCCGAAGCTCACATAAGTGGAAAGCTCCCACAGATGTCTAAAATTACACTCTAGGTTCGAGGTAACTGAGAATTTAAGTATTGTATATCATTATGTCTACAACTGTGATTATCTGTTATGTAATCAATAGTTTGAAATGAATAGTATGAATTTACTGTATGTAACATTCAAGAAAATTTAACCCCAAATTAATTGAATAAATAAGGGTAATTAACTAAATTTATATTGTATGTGGTTACAAAGAGTTAACGGATGTTTTAGGTTGTGATTTCAACCTTAGGATTTAGTTTGAAGTGAAGTTAGGCTCCTGGGCATGAAAAGGTAAAAAAAACAAAGAAAAATGGCTCTGTACTGCATGCCGTAATGCATAAGCCACCAAAACATAAAGTTCACTCCTTTTTACCACATGCCATAGCACATAGTACACTTTCCACAGAAATAAGAAATGAATTGTTGCGAGAAATAGAGATAAGAGATAGAGGAAATGAAGAGGACGAAGAAGGCTCTGCTAGGGCTTCATTCTCAAGAGAATTGGAGGTGTTTTGAAGCTGTTAAACCCCAAGAGTAAGCCTTATAACTTATTCTTCTTCCTTTTCAACCCATTTTCTTAAGCTTTTGGTTAGGGTTTGTCAATAGAAGATGATTTTGGTATATATAAGTTATGAGTCTGAACCCATTGACTCAAATGGAATTAATAAGAGTTGTTTAGATTGTTTAAACTTATTATTGATGATTTTATAAGTTTCTTTGGTAAGCTTCATTAATGTCCAAAATTAGGGCATTAATTGTAAATGTTTGGGGTTGTTGGTAGACATCAATGACTTAAGGAGAGTTTAATGGTTAGTTGAGGATTGATAAAAATTAATATACCTAATAGGTGAGTCTAAATATAAGAAATAAGGGCTTTGGGTATTTTAGAAGTGAAAAATGAGAGCTGAAAATATGTTTTTAGTAATATTAATAAGTTAGTTGTAGATTAATTGTCTAGGCACCATAGTCGACTTGGAAAACAAGCTTGGAAGCAAATTGTTAAGGGATAAACCTCTCACCTCTCAAAAGTTTGAGGTAACTGAAGAACAATTATCTTGGGTAGTTGTTTATTAATTACGTTAAAATGTGAAATGAGTTTATTTGCAAGCATAATTGTGAATGTGAAAACATGCCATGAACTACATGATAGTGTATTAACTTTGATTTGACTAAAATGTAGAGTTGAACTCAAAATGATTTTAAGTTATGACATGTAACTGAAATGAAAAGTGTGTAATATAGGATGTGATAATAGTGTGGTTATATTAACATGTGAGTATTATATGTGTAGCTAAATGAGAAATTAAAGCGTGTTATGAAATTGAGAATTGAAGTGGATAATGGTTGTGAAAATGATGTTGATGCTCACTTGGATAGCGTGATACCACAAGCCCAACATGTGATGTTAAGTAGACTAAATTTTAATGAATAAATATGAACATTGCATGATCATTTGGTAGGAGTTTATCTAGGAAAATGAGTAAATAAAATCCATATGGTATTTATGATTGCCTTTTGGTGCATGAAAACTAAGCCTTGTCTCACTATTTATTGAGGGACTGTTTCATATTTTCTTAAGGAATTAGAATCTTGCTATCTCTACATGTTTATCGAAGAGATTAGTTTAGGTTATACGACACCCTAAAGATTTGAGAGTGGGGAAAATTATGGTTCGAAAGTGAGTATTATGATCTTTGGCCAAATCACACCTCACAATTAGTGAGTTTAGGTAGTTCAATCACACGGACGAAGCCCTAATTAATATTATAGCTCACGGTTTTAGTCAGAAAAAAATAAGGAGATTATAAGGAAGAATCGATTATGCATATGTATTTATTTGACATATTACATGGTTGTTAAGTTTGTGGCAAATTATGATAGTAAATGTGCTATTGGCACATGGTTGATTGTATTGTGGTAATGTGCATTGAATTGATGAGTTGTGTAACTGTTACATGTTTGCATGTATAGTGGCAATATACTCGATGATTTGAAATGAGAAATATGAAAATAAGTAAAATTATGAAATTATAACTTATATCATATGTAATTGAATATTTTTGAGTAATCAAGTCACTCTTGTGTGTCTAATTTAATTGATATATAACTGCATAGGATATGTGTACATTAGTTACTGTGTGACTAAACTCACCCTTCTCTTTTAATATTTTACGGGCTCTAGTTCTGGTATGGAAAGGGAAAATGCTCTAAAGGCTTAAGAATATGGGATTCCTATTATAAAGCCTCTTATCTGGATTTGTTTTTGTATAATAAATAATATATTGCCAAGTAGGATGCATTTTGTTTACACTTGTATTATATTATTGTTAAAGAATTTGAAATATATTTTGGGCCCTAAAATATTGTATGTAAGTTGTTAAAGAGTTAACAAGGCTAAAATACTAGTACAAGTGTAGTAACTATTATCATATTGTTGAAATTGATAATGATCGGATTATATAATGCTAAAACCTTCCCTTTCTGTTATTGATATTAAAAGGGTTAAGGAGTGAAAATTTTATACTATGGTGTATATGTGCATGTGATGTATTGTATAGGTAGTCCTAAATTCTTTGAGTGTGGTTTGAATGTTAGAAATGACTTTTGGCACATGAATGAGGTTTAGGACACCCTTGAGTTCTGAAAAT